CTGAACCTTCAAGATGTAAATCCTGCTCTCTAAATCCTGGAAATTGTTCCTCAATTTCTAATGCATATATAAGTGCGATCACGACGGGGTGCTCTCGATGGCTGGAAATTGTTTCTTTGGAATTTGGCTCCACTCTTGCCTTGCCATGCCTTTAAATCTCGTCCAAATACCCTTCAAGTGTCGTTCTCGGCATGATAACCTCTTATAACCTCTATTTGCTAATGCTCCGACGTTGTGTGGCGTGACCTCATTATCTCGGCGTTAGAATCGTAGGACCCCTGCCAGAGAGGTCACACTCTTTGAGTGCATCGCGTTGGGGCCACCTGCTCCCTCCTCGCACAATGACCGCGATGACGGGATATCTCCGTAGCACCACCGCTATTCCAAACCCTCATCCTGACATGCCATAAGCCGTATCTACGTCGTGGTCGTCCAATTGCGTGGGACTCTTGGGAAGCCTCGTAAACTCTAGCCTCAATGCTAACGGGGGTAAACTAGACCTGATCACGTGGGAACTTGTGGAAGCAATCAGAAATTCTGAATTTTCTCGAACGTTCCTTGATATCGACCGTAAAAACGGAGGCGTCGTTTTTTTTTCTCGTTGCTAATGCTTTTGTTTGGTTTTTTTCTTTGCTGAAAGAATTCTGACAATTACCACCGGTTCTTATCAAAGTCTCTTAGATATCCTTTACCTAATGGTTACTAGATGTGCAGGCACCTAATTTGGAAAGCTGTTTGTCTATGAGACCTTTTTTTCTGGTTCAAAGAGGGAGGCTGCTCTCGTGTTTTTCCCAACCGAATTTACCCATTTCTGGTGTTTTACTCTATTGTATTGTATTGATGTTGCCGAATTCATTTTTTATCCTTTGAAAAAGTATTTTATCATGCTCGGAGAACGATCCTATCATCGTCTTCATTCTAAACTGTTGTTCAGTGCTTCGCTATTGCCACACCCTGTTGTGTGGTAGGGACTTTTTCTTTTTTTTAGCTCTTATTTAAACAAATGTCCTATTTCATTGACCCTTCCCCCTCGTTGAATGGCAGAATTCAGCAGCAGACAGTGAGCAGCACTAGGGTAGAGGTGTAGTTGTAGAATGACTGAAGCTCACGCCACTAATAAGGAGAGTCGTAGAAGGGGTTATGTGGCCAAGCTTTCACTTCCATAGTACCTAACCATGAAATACCAGCTGTAATCAGGGGTTAAAATGTATTTTTCCAGAGCTTAATCATCTCTGTCAATCGCCTGACCAGATCCTCATAGTAATAATAACCTCCTACGAACCTAAATGGGCGCTAAAGGTGCATTCTCTACCACATTTTGATTTTTCTTTTCCAGTTGCTTACGATTTTCGATAATGGACTATGCATTTCAATCTTTACCTACCTCGCATCGTTCTTGTTTTTGCGATGCTTTGAATTGATTACGTTCAACAGATATCATGTTTACTACTGGTTTTGTTTTGATGCGGTTCATTTTGTTATTTCCGCCTGACTCGGGTGATCTCAAACTTACATTTTTGTGATTTTTATGTTCCTTGTAAATTGACTCTTTGAACAATGGAAATTATTTACCGACAAACATCTGGTAGGCTCACATCAGTTGAAGGTCATCAGATTGCTGTGAAGGCCCGAGTGTCCCTTGGGATTCCATCCAGCCACACTGACTCTGTTATGATATGAAAAGGTTCAAAGTTCAGGAGAAGAACGACTAAGGGACCCGTTTTCTTTTCGCCAGGCCACCATTTACTGGTGTACTTTTGATGGTTTGTTAAAGAGCCAGAGATTGGGTCCAATTCCGTTTGAAATCGTTGTTGCCTTTCAATGTATTTTTGGCTAATACAATTATTTGCTGGGATCAGGCGGTATAGAAACCATTGCCTCACAATCGTGAGCGAGATAAAAGCATTTGTTTGTATACCTGCTAATCTTTGTGAGCGGCTCTGGCACTCGATCGAAAGAAAGACCCGGTCGGTCCACGGTCTTTTGCTCCAATCTTTGGTGTTCGAACCAAATGTAGGCCAGTGTAGGCGCCACCTGGTACTGCTTCATATCCCTTTTCAATACCATAGGACGGAGTCGTACGAGCTCTACAACAAAAGTTCTATTACCAAATTTGGTACCCATCGGGGGTCCCAGGGATATGAAACCCCCGATGGGTACCAGATTTGGTTAGTTCTTGATTCACTTTGGTTAGTTCTTCTAAGAATTGATCAACAATTCATTCGTTGGCGTTAGCGATGCAACATACGTTGTTGTTTTCGCTAGCCTTTCGTTGAACAGCAACTGGCGATCCATCATATGTGTAGGTGGTGTACCCTGTGTTTTAAGCGACAACCTTGGGTTTTCACCTCTTTCACAGCGATTCCTGTCCATTTTTGCTGTCAAATCAACAGGCCATGTTTACATTGATTATTTCCCATAGTTTTGCTGCCAACAACTTTACACTACAAAAGTGTTTATATCTTTACCGAACCTCGTCCAAGAATTTTTCAGCACCTAACTAGAACAGAGCACACTGTTACGCTTCGGTTTGAATTATTTACAAACTCGTCCTGACTTTTGTCTTAGCGACTTTGAGAATATTTATTACAGGTACCCGATAAAGCCTTTTTAATCTCATATTTGTAGTTGCGAAAACAGATCTGATAAGTTAGCCTTTGTGAACACCCGAAAAAAGTTTTATCGTGAAAGTCAACTGTTGCCAAGGTCATTGAACAGTAAAGCTATCACAATCAGATACTGATTGTGAATATCCGTCATTTCTGTGTGTAGAAGCGGTATTTGAATATCCTTCTTTCTAACACTCGACTCTTATAGCCTCTGACTGGGCCTTGTCCTCGACTTTCAATCGTTTCTCATAGAACGCTTCCAGTTCTTTTACTTATCGCTATACGCGAAATCGCTGAATAAGTTCCAGAGAACGCCTGATAATGCCATAAATTATTTGCGATTGTGATTACTTCGTTATCAGACTGATTTCCTCGTCCGTCGAAATTTCTAGCACCTAGCTCCTCTCCAACAAGGTACCCTTCGTTCTAGTTTCATTGCTTCTCGAACGCAGGCTTCTTGGGTATCTGGTTCGATCGAGAGTTCCTGAAAATTACTGTAGCGATTCCAAATTGAGTGACATGCGAACCAATGGGTACTGAAGCATCAGGTCATGCATGAAGTTAGCTGGTCGGAAAACTCCCACAATGCCTCTCGAAGCGTTTTCACCATCTCTCTAGATTCTTCGAGTCCTAAAGCCACTTCTATCTTTTCTGATCTCCAAGGTTTTTCTGAAACTGTGGAACGTGGGGTCTCTAAAATGTAACAACTATGGAGGAATACCTTTCAGAAAGGATTTAAGTTTAAGTATAATTTACTGTAGATACAATCACAATCAAACTTGATCATGAAGACATCGGTGAAAATGTAGTTGGGGGGTGCCAGCGCCCTTTTGTGCTCTGCGTCTCTGACACCGGCGGCAGAGTACATAGAGATCGCAGAGAAGTATTCCTCCCCTTCTAAAAGTTGGGGGAGGAGCTCCGGGGTGAGAGAGCTGATTATATCGTGCAGAAAGCTGGGATGGGGTAAGAATTAAACATCCAACTGGTTCACCCACCCCGGAGCTCCTTCCCTGGCTTCAAGAAGGGGAGGAGCTCCGGGATGGGTGAGATGANAGAGTAAGAAGTGAAGAGACGCAGAGCACAAAAGTGCCTGGCACCCCCCAACTAAATTTTCACCAAGACATCCATCCTCCAACTTGTGGATTTCAGCCATTGCTGCTTGCCTACAATACAAAAGGTCAAGCTTGCCGACTCACCTTTTCTGATCGTTTGATACACCTACTACTGAATACTATTTGACTGTTAGAAATACTTGTGGAGTAAAGAGTCAAGCATTACATCCATAGGAGTCAAATGGGGCACAGATTAGGACCCTTCGTCTAGTTCAGTCATATTATAGGGGACACGGTGATCTTATCAGCCCCTAACGATCCCTTTAACCTTGATCTGCGATGTGTTGAATTCTCTGAACAAGGGCGAACGTCGAATGCCAAGTTTTCTTGCAATCAACATTTAACATAATTTTACTTATTTTGAAGTTACGGAGTAGTTATTAATACTTCATTCTTTTCATTTTTTTATTTGGGCTTAATTAGTTTTCACCACTTTATTGATTTACTAATTTTTGTTTACCTGCTTTTTTACATGTGACACCCATCCTGCGTTACTTATTTTGTCCCTTCGAAGGCGGAAAAGAGTTGGGAAATTCTTTAGGACTACAATTATAATAGTATATGCAACTTCATTTACTTATTCAATTAATTATTTGTTTGTTTGTTTACTTATTTATATATTCATGTATGCAAGGTGATCTATGAATAAGGCAAAAGAACGAATTCAATCACAAATCGGAACATAGGAAACGATGAAAGTAGGGGTCAAACATCATACACACAAGCGTAAGCCTCACAGAATTACTACTTCATTGGTCTAATCATCTGTATTCGCCTATTTTTTAAAATTAACTTTTGAGTATTCAATCAATTGCTGGTCCTTGAATGCGAAAAAATCTAAGCCGTTGTCGAGACCGGATTCTTCAATATTTCCTACTTCGACTATCTATTTATTTTGTTCGACAATTTGTTTACCTTTAGTACCCACCACTTCGTTATTTACTAATTTTTCTACTTATATTTAATATTTATTGCTCTCGTTCTTAACCTTGTCCCTCAGAATGCCACAAAAATCTGCCCTTTCCCTCAAAATCTTGATGTATCGTGTTACGTTTCCGAGTTCTTTTGCCCCCACCAAGCCGCCATTGTTCGACATATCAGCTGGCCGTTCAGTTTGACAATCGATATCGGTCTTTTTACTAGATCATTACTTTACAGCGAAACGAATTGTCGTTATGTATTTCCCATGCTCTCGCGAAACCCCTTCTCAGATTTCCGAACAGGACCATCTCTGTGCAGTACTCGTCTTCCGTCGTATTCCTCGAAGCACCTCTTTCAGATGATTACAAGCCGAACTGCTCGCGTACTTCTGCTGCCACGATGTCGACCGCTAAGGTAAGATTGCTGGAAAAGCCTTGTTTCTCAACATAATTTGGAAGTGTTCAAATGATTATTCCTTTTAAAACACAGCTCACGATGGATTTTAGAAACATAAGGCCTCAAAAAAGTAGTAGGAATAGGGTTGTACGAGATAATGTGTCTGTAATCGTCTCAGTCTCTCTCATACAGGTGTACTATTCGTTGGCATTCATCCAATCCATTGTGAATAGTTTCACTTTAACAAGATCGTCACAACATGGAAACTTTAGCGTGTGTACGTCGGATAAGCCGATTTCAAAGCCCTTATAACAATTCGTCGAGGTTGATGTCCAACACGACAATGCTCAGTGCTATCCTTGGGGGCCACAGGTTCATTCTAGGGGGAAGTCTCAAGGAACATTTTTGTCGTGAATTGTGCCATAAGCCGTTCCTCTATTTTTCTTCAGTTTGAAAGATTTATACCAATTCTATGGTCAAACGAAGTACTACATGCAAAAATGAACGTACTCAATGGTTGTCCTCAGAAAAATTGGAATTGATGGAGTAAGGGAAAAAAGGGACAATGCCATCTTCAAACTCATACAGGGCTGTATCAATGGATNTTTGAGCTTATCCTGCTTTGTGTAATCGATCCGCCGCACGCGGCAGTCGCGGGCCATTTGCCTCGTTGTAACAGTTCTAGCGTTCTTCACACAGCTCAGTCGCTATGCGACTATTACTTGTGGTATGATTCTACAGTTAATTCTTTTGTTCCTGTATTTCTTGCTTGCTGCTGCAATCTACTATTCATTTGCGCGCGGCGTCCCTCTCGCCGCGACGCGACAATTTCGTTCCTGCTGCACCACACCCCTACACTCCATCAGGCAGTACGTTGTCAGTTTGGTAACTTTCCACACTACAGGTTCGAATGGAGGTGCATGACTTAACAAAGACCCAGAAGAATCTTTTAATGTCGAGAAAGTAGTGGTATAAATAAGAGATTAATTCGTAGAGAAAAATCTGTTCCGTACTCGCATGTAAGCAAACGCTAGATCGAAAACATCGGCGGATGAACATTGGCATACTTACACGACACAAAGATGTGTAGATCTGATCTTTTGAAATTTTACTTCGACCACTTACTGTGTTGGTTAATTACTGTAAGCGAAAACAATCTGAAAGTATTTAGGTGCAATCGCCAGCTTTACCGTGATTTCCGTTCAAGTCATGGAGTCAAAGAGCGGCAATCGCCGCCAGTTGACGGTTTGCAGGCCAATGTCGCAGGCACTCAGGTACGTCTGGCTAGGCTTATCTTCATAGTGACATCATTACCTAAACTATACCCAAATATGTTTTTGGTGCGTACTGATTATTCATCTACTTAGTTGTTAGCAGTATGTAGGGGTAGCGACGATGAGTGGGCGAGAGGGAGGGGGTCAAAGAGGTACTGTTTTTGTTTTTCCAAAGTCTTGGACTTGTACCTTTCGCTTCAACGTAATGAAGTATAAGTAAGCCCACCGGGTGCTCAGACAGACTAGAGGCGTGTGAATCAGTGGCGAAGTAATGTCAATAAACTAAGGAGGTTGTCATGCCCCATAACCCTAGACCCTAGGCTCAATATTGGAGGTGCTTCGCTCCCAAAGGGTAAGTCTTTTTCGGTAGTACAGCTAACTCGCCAGTGATTTCTCTGCTTCTATGTCTGCTAGCCAGGCGATGATCCTCCAGCACCGTACCCAGGGGGGCTTAATCTTCTGTGTAGAATTATGCCCACTCTTGGAGACGATAATACCTAGTTCGGCTCCCCCACACGACCAGCATCTCCTCAGTAATCTCTTTTTTCTTTATTTTCGCTTTTTTTTCTACAATTGGGTCCACCACAGACTTCCCATGCTCTATTTCTACTCTGAATACACGTGGTTTTCATCTAGGATATCCTATTTCAGCTGAAAATCGTCGAACCCACACCGTCATCCCTTCGTCCATACAGCTCCCACTTCCATAGACCCAAAGAGGATCATTTCTCTGAGAATGTGGCGAAAACGCTGTGCCCTGAGAGTTTTGAAGAGCTGCTTCCTCACATTGACACCTTCATTTTCGACGCTGACGGTAAGGAGGTTTTCATTGAGAAGAAGGCTCTATCTATCTCGATCCAAAACGATGTACGAGTTTTCAGGTGTCCTCTGGCTTGGGGATGAGGTTATTCCTGGTTCACCTCGGCTAGTTGACTTTCTCGTTAAAAATAATAAACGAGTAATTATGCTTACAAACAACGCCACTAAATCGCGGGCACTTATTGCGGAAAAAATTGCAAGGCTTGGATACAGTCCTGAGCTGAATAAAGTAAGTCTGTGTTGCCCTATAGTTCCATGGGACCAAGATATTTCCACTCCTGTTCATTGAAAATTTCTTCAGGATACAGTGGTCAATCCAGCTGCAGTTATCGCCGACTCCTTGCACAGAGCTGGCTTTGCTGGATACAAAAAAGTCTATCTGATAGGATCTCAAGGGGTGCGTGACGAGATGGATGCCCTTGGTAAGTCCCTTCACTCGATTGAAATGCAATGAGAGCGACAAATAGGATGAACCCAAGAATTGAACAAGTAGGTAATCAAATTGGCCACCTGGGAGAGGAGGCGATTTTTGGCTTTTGGGGCAGGTTTCGAATTAGGGGCATGGAAGAGGCCTAACTTGACAAGATGTGTTGTCCTTCCGACTCCAACCCCTCCTGATTTCATGCCGCTCGCGCTGATGCGTGGGATTTCTCAGAAGAGCTGAACGGGTCACGGAGACTCAGCCTCACCCCAGATTCTCTCTCCGAAAATTTTAGTTAGTTGTCTCATCGTATAGCGCGCCATGTCGTTTAGGAATAACACCCCTCCCTACAACTCAGACTTCTTTTAAAACTGATACTTTTGCTTTGTTTCCGATTTTCTCACTTCTTCGATATCCTTTTTAGGTCTCGAGTATTTTGGCCATGGTCCAGAACCTCTGGATCCTTCCGATGAACGAACCTACGTGCACGATGTCAAGATGGAAGACGTTGGTCCCTCTTTCTATGACCGCTCACTCTTTTTGAGGCGCAGCTCACGATGGAAATAGTCCCAGGGCTTACTTTCTGAGATGAACCAGTGGCCCTTAAGGATGGCCTAAAAAACGCTGTCAGGTCTTTTACGCCATTTCCGGTCGACAGCGCGCACCACTGTATGGGATGCACCGTTCACACGGGACGCACACGGTGCACGCAGCCAGCTTATTGAAGCCAGCTGTAGGCAGTGGCACACACATTTAGGCAGCTCGTCCAAATATCACTTCCAAACAATTTTTTGCACTATCCTGAACTATGGCTTCCATTATTCGTCCAAAACTACATAGCTACCCCCAAAAATCATCGTGTTCTGTGTCTTCGGTAGTAGATGTTCTCTAATTCAACTTCAGCTAGGTCATTTTCAGCATACCAAGGTCGGAGCGGTAGTGGTTGGGTACGAGAAGTACTTCAACGTTTCAAAGCTGGTGAAAGCTGCAAACTACCTCAAACAGCCACATTGCCTTTTCCTGGCTACAAACGAAGATGAGACATGCCCAAGTCCGGATCCAAACGTTATCATACCCGATGCAGGTGTGTGAATCTTACTGTGTTCCTTCATTTTTCTGCCATCTCTCATGAAAGTCTTCGCTTTTAGGTCCCATAGTGGCTGCGGTTCGATGTGCATCTGGCAGGGAGCCCCTTACCATCGGAAAGCCCAACAGTCCGATTTTCGACTTTATAAGAAGGCGATGGAATATCGACCCGGAACGAACGATGATGATCGGTGACAGGTAGGCATCGGATGGAGCTTCCGACTGTGAACGCTAATCGACCGAACCTCCTTTTAGAACAAATACCGATGTGAAATTTGGTCGCGATCACGGGATGCGAACGTTGCTGGTGTTATCGGGATGTCACCAAATCGAAGACATCATGGAGAATCACCGAAATGGCCTACTCGACATGGTCCCAGATTTCATTGCAACCTGTCTGGGAGCTTTATTACTACCTCAGAGAAAAAACTAACTCGTATTCGCCTTGTATATATGCTTGTACATATCGTGGTTTCTCAGACCTGCTCTAATGATTTCATTAGATTTCACGAAATTAGCCTTTAAGTGCACATATTTAAAAGACAGTACCTTATTGTATTATTCAAGAGGAATAAAATTCTCTATTACCTCTGTACCCTTATAAGATTCATTCTGAGTCTAGTATTTTGTTATGTAAGGTTTGCAGTAATTCGGTAACTACCTTCTTTGACCCCGAACAGACCAGTAAAACAGCAGCCTTATCCTTATAGCAGACACAGTACAATTGAGGCAAGAGATCTTCACAATGAGAACGGTAGTGGAGAACGATACAACAGGTTGAGGCACAATTTCAACAAATGATATTTTGCTAGACGGACGAATGTTGTCCCTACTTCCAAGGGCGCAAGGTGTTAAAAGTTGCGGTCCCTTCTCTGAGAACGAGATTAAGAGCGCGTGTCTGAGAATTTCCCCCTTCTAGGGTAAATCCGTGTCCGACTTGAGGCGAGAATGAATCACTGGATGAAATACGTGCCCTTTTATATGCTGCTGTTCCCGCGCACGGATATTTCGCAATCTTACTGTATATCTTCACCTCAATTTCGCTCCTTACTTATACTTATTCAGAATATTTAAAAGGATGTTTTATCTCTATAACATAAAGGGATAGTGTCTGTACGAGTGTATGTATGTATGTGTGCGTGCTTGTATGTGTCTGTTTGTCTATCTGTGTATCACGAAATCCGATTCTGCGAGAAGAAACTGAAGAGGTGGGGTCAAGTTTGCAATGGATGAAGCACAGAACAAGACCAACAGAGAACATGTAAACTTAGCGGGGTTCCGATCATGAAGTTGGGGCCAGACATGAACCACAGTAGACTGCGGTCATGGTCAAGTTCTATGATCTGGTATAAGAAAAGCGCAAGCAAAGGGAAAAATTAGGCAAAGGCGAGGAATGAGTTATGAATCGAAACGGGGGAGATTCACTAGCCGTGGGCGCAGCGTTCTCAAATGGGCTACACTTACTAAATACCCTAAAATTCCATAGATAAGAGCGGTTAAAACTACCGGTGAAAAATGAATTGGAATGAAATTGAAATTGAATGCAGTCACCCTCTAACTTGATGAATGGATAAATTAAACTTCGAAGAAGAAGTTAAGAAGAAGCTCCGCCCCTCAACTCCAAACCCCGCCTACTTAATAAACAATTCATATAGAAAAGTAGCGATTNGGGGCGGAGCTTCTTCTTAACTTCTTCTTCGAAGTTTAATTTATCCATTCATCAAGTTAGAGGGTGACTGCATTCAATTTCAATTTCATTCCAATTCATTTTTCACCGGTAGTTTCAACCGCTCTTATCTATGGAATTTTAGGGTAATTTCGTAAGTCGGCTACGCTAAAGTGTGGATGTCAGAAAAAATTACGAAAATAAGTGAGTTCTGAGGTGTCCCAAGCATATCTAAAATAGGTAAAGCTTTGCCTACGCAGGGCGGGCTTGTTCTCAAAAGGAATTTGTTATTCACAAAAGTTTACAACTTTGTTTAAAATCGTTCTAGAACCAGGAAAACAGGAATAGTTTAGTGGAGCTAAGAGGAAACTCACATCTCCGTTGGAGAACGTTGAAGAATCCGAAAAAACGATTATAGACTTTCAAGAGAGAGTGGTCATATCTTCATTGTGGGCGGAGCATGTGCAGAAATGGGACGTGCTTGGATCAGAGTTTCTTCTCCCTATCGAGAGCGTTGTGATGTGCGTTTAGCGTGCGCAGCCTAGCCTGCAACAAATACCCAAAACAGTGGTGAAAAACAAGATGCAGTATTAATCTGAGGTGTCTGGAAAATTAATAATAAAAGAAGAACCTACGACTTCGTTATAAGTAGCAATAGCCTCCCGTAGGAACAAATTCCCCGTCAAGAAACTCTAACTCTTCTCTGAAATTAATATTCCTAGTCGGGGCGTTCCGGCTCTACTACTATGGTAAGAGAATACTTCTGACTAGGGACCTCGTTGCTTTATTCTACTTGCTGCAATACAAGTAACTGTAGCCCCTTAATTGTAAAGGGTACAAGATAGGGAGCAGGTAAGGAATAATGTCTGTAGAGTACTAGCCTGGGTACGCACTTGGTGGACCAGAACCGCAAACAAGTACCCCTGAAGATCGTTGTGGTGATGGTATCAGAACGATATCACTGTTGACGTCATTTTCGTCCTTTGAACTGGAACAAAATACCGTCCCATCGCTATTCTAATAATAGAGCTGTTATGGTGTGGAACAGCGCCATGAATAGAGGTGGGCATAAAGTGTATCGGTCTTGTTTTTATAAAGTTGCCTCTATAGTGCACGGAACAAATAAGTAAACGTAGTGTGTTGATAATACTTCAAGGCTATCCATGTGAAAACTTCACTTAACATAGTAGGCTGGTAGAGTGCAGAGAGGCAGAATTCGTAGAGGAATATTTGATAGACGTTCTCTTTTACTCCGCTTGGGTTTTAGAAATGAAGTCTTCTGGCGATACCAATTATCCATTCGTTAAACGGGAGATGCTGTAGCGAAGAATGGTGGAATAACGCATAATCAGTACATGATCAGGGAACAAAGTCTCTGATTTATGTGAGCACAAACCACCATCTGTCGAAAGATTGGTTCAGTGTACGAAGTATAAAAGTGTGGACTTGTATCTAGACTGGCCATCGCAAGATTTCTTTACTTTTCAATACATTTTTTAGTCTTTCTATTTATGTGAGTTTGTATGTTCTCAGAGGGTTTGCAAAGGGTTTATAAGATTTTTTGAGTTGAACAATCCCGAATCTATACACGCCCAGCTCAAACAAGCATCCCATTCCTCCGGGTTCGACTAATTGCTATCAGACTTGCTTGAGAAGAAGAACTGACTTCTAATTTGCTGGCCACCTCAAGTCATTGTATGGTCCACACCCGCATCCAAAACGTCACTGCGATCCCGAATAGAATTAGACCGCATCTCGAAGTAGGATTGATTACGCCAGAAACTCTAGCCTTTAAGGTCTTTATGACGCAAAAAAAGAACTCAGAACCAGAAGTACAGACAAATATAACAAACAACGAAAAATGTGGTAGTTCCTCATCGAAGAGAGGCCGAGGGTGACCAGCATAGAATGCGAAACATTCCCTATTCGGGAGTTCTCTCTCTCTCTTCAGACCTATTGACACTCCTTCTCCAAAAAGAAACAAAGCACGGATTTGAGTAGAGCCATTGTAGAGACTCAGGTCTTCTGTTACACCAGCAACTGATGATTAGGTACTGAGAAACGACTGACGGAGCGGAAAGCGTCGACTGAAATGGCAATTATGCGGAACAAACAAGACGGTCCTTGCAAGTTCGATGCAACAAACATTGTTGAAAACAAATTGTTTATGAATTCTAAAATATTGGTCATAGTTTTCACACTTCGACAATCCCGAAGGCATGAATTATATGGCTCGTTTAGCAAGGCTGATTGACTCCAAATGCGATATCCCCTAATCCCTAAACTAGTTATCAGCTATGTTGACATCACTTTTAAAGATCATTGGCCGTCGAATAGGCGTCCACGTGAACAGCACAATTGCACCTTCAAAGATGCAAACTTGTTTTTAGGACGTCGTTGTCGTTCTCTGCATTGTTTTTCTCGTCTGAGCGGTAGTATAAAAGCAGCAAAGCTGTTACTATATCAACTCAAGTATGTCCGCAGCCAACCTATAAGTAACCTTTACAATGGGATCTCACAAAATTATCTACTTTTACTAATATTTATTGTTATAGGGACCTGTCATATTCCCAGTCATCCATAACCTTTTCCTTGAAATTCCTTGAAAAGATAGTCTGTTGACCGAATCGGGCTGCGCCATGCCGTTGAGTTCATCGTCGCTCTTCAATACTGTACCTTTCAGATGAAAACTACTGACTCTACTGCAGTTCGCAACTGCATGCTCAGCTCTCCTGCTTATAAATCGAAAGATGGTCATTTCTCAGAGGACATTACAAAACCTCTGGGCCCTGAAAGTTTCCGAGAGCTGTTACCCGATATCGATACGTTCATCTTCGATGCCGATGGTCAGTTTGGGAGCCCACAGTTCCATGTTATTTTCCTTTATCACTCAGATTCAATTCATACTTTTCAGGTGTCCTATGGCTAGGAGACGACGCTATCCCTGGTTCGGTTCGACTAATTGATTTTCTCGTGAAAATCAAGAAGCAGGTGATCATACTCACGAACAACGCCACCAAATCCCGAGCCGTTTATGCGAAGAAACTGGCGAGGCTTGGATTCAGCTCCAAGCTGGACGAGGTGGACTTTCCTTCTGGGAGTATCTGCCTATAGGGTATCCTATTTCAAGCCACTGAATTTCAGGACTCACTGGTCAATCCAGCTGCCGTTATTGCCGACACCTTGTACCGAGCTGGTATTACCGGTAACAAAAAAGTCTACCTAATAGGAGCTCAAGGAGTACGCGATGAAATGGATGCACTCGGTAGGTGCTAGACCCCATAGGATATCTTGGAAGGTCCATAGACTGATCATCTGTACGGTGTCTCTTTAAGGTATTCAGTACTTTGGACATGGCCCAGAGCCACAGGACCATTCCGATGGGAGTGCCTTCATGTTCGACATCGAGTTGGAGGAAGATGTGGGTGACCCTTCTGGTTCAATGGCCTTTGAACTTTACTCTTCAGTCGAAACCTCTTCACAACCTATGAGTATTTCAGCCTTCCGAAGTGGGTGCGGTAGTTGTTGGATACGAGAAGCACTTCGACTACCACAAGTTGATGAAGGCCTCGAACTACCTTCAGCATCCACATTGCCTCTTTTTGGCTACAAATGAGGATGAGACATGTCCAGGTCCTAACCCAGATATCATTACTCCCGATGCAGGTTTGTCCACTCACTTCCTTCCCTTCACCCCTACCCCGAACCGTCCCATTCCAGGACCCATCGTAGCCGCAGTCCGATGTGCTTCGGGAAGGGAACCTATTACTGTTGGAAAGCCCAACACTCCAGCTTTCGACTACATCAGAAGGCGATGGAGAATTAATCCTGAGCGGACAATAATGGTCGGCGACAGGTAAGCATACGACCTTTACTCGACCACAAATCAGTAACCACCTAGTTTTTCCCTTTAGGACAAATACCGACATCAAATTCGGTCGCGATCACGGGCTGAAGACTTTGCTGGTGCTTTCGGGTTGCCATCAACTCGAAGATGTCACCGACAATCGCATTCATGGCGATTTTGATATGGTCCCTGACTTCTATGCTACTTGTCTTGGAGCTTTGATAGCACCTTCGGCAACACATCGAGGACAGGCTTAAGTTGGTAATTACGGGACTGAATTACGTGTGTTTGTACATATATAGCTCATCGCCAATATTTAATAAAAATATTACATCGAGAACTTATAAGGCATTTTCCTCACTCTTAAAGAGTGGCTCGTGACCTCATTATCTCCCATTTTCTCACCGACCCCTCTGTTTCTTGAGAGTAACTTTTTGCACTGTAATGTACGGTATTCTTATTATGGTTGCAATCGATTATCATTGTTTACTTGTTGCTTTGCCTCATAAACACACTTTGATTCAAATTTGGTAATCAGACTCACCAATCAACACCATCTTAACAGAGCTAATTGTAAGTTCATAAGAAACGTTGAAGTTGATTTCTAGTGATGGCAAGTTACGAGAAAAACTACGGGCGGGACTCGACCTTCTTCTTGTACATCTGCTTCGCTCTTACCCCTCACACTAGTGGGACCCCACGTGCTCCTAAATGATCTAGTGTAAGGGATAAAGAGCGGGGTGTCAGGAAAGCACAAGCACGGGTTCGAGTTCCACTCCCTCCTAAGTTTTGCCCTCAACTCACCATCTGTGCGAAAATTTCGCGTCGTGTAGCGAAGGAAGAGCAAACAGCAGAAGAGAAAAATCTTCCGATGCACATTCAGAATTAGTTGTCATTCTTGGCTAGATTCTTACCTACATTCTTCTAGCCATTTGAAAAGCCCTTGGATTTGAACACGCAACAATTATACTTTCTTAGCTTAGTAATGGAGGTTGAGCACGTTACTGGCTTTTCCATTCCAATGGTCAGTTAGAAAAAAGGTCAAGAAAGATTGACAAGGTCCTTCCTACATCTCCTTGCTTCCAACATCGGACAAAAATCTGGACGAAGAACCGTGAACGTAGAACGAAAGGTAAGTGGCCTCAGTCAAGCGGCTCTGACGCTATCGCCACTTTACCAAGGGATATATCAGAGAATTCTGAAAACTTAGTCGCTCTCGTCTTCACCAGTGTACTATCATTCCACTCTGCGCTGACACCTCCGTTCCTTAACTTAAAAAACTAAAACCTAGAATACATAAGAGTACCTGCCTTACCTGAAATAAAATTACCCAAAATAATCGAGAACCTGCATTTAAACGGACGGTTGCAGCTTTATAATTTAATAACTTTTTTTCAAAGTGGTTCGCCAATAGGTTGACCAAGGCCTCTTTAGATTCGCAAGAGCATTGATATATTGTTGAAAACGTAAGTGTACTGTCCTTAATAGCAACCTATTGTAACAGAAATTTTCAAACTTGGTTGTCAGCGAAGGCTCATTTGAGATGTCTTTGATAGGTAATCGCAAGTGGCACCATACATCCGACTTCAACTGGGAACTAATAAAGGATGAAGTTTCCGGCGTTGGGATGTGGGATGCGCCCCNGCACTCGGCTTCCATTCAGAATCGTAGTGGCGTAATTAGTGCGCATGCGGCCTATACAATGACTTGCGGTGACCAGCCAATGTACAAGTCAGTGCTTTTATCCTTTCAGACGAGTCTGGTACCAACTAAGCGACTTTTGAGGAATGGAAGACCTGGTTGGCCTGGGCGGATATCGATCGGGGACTTGAGCCCGCGACCGTGCGCGTGAGGTAGCGCGGCCACTTGCCACTACACCACTTCGCTGGCAAGCAGTGGACGCCCGAAAACGGACCTTCAAACCGATACCACACAATATTGAACTGATTGTTTGAAATTCCACGTATTGGGATGGCCAATCAAAGCACTCATGTGAGAAACTTAATTGGGAGCTTGATCCAGCGAAATGTGATGTGGCAGGGTGTCCATCTCCGGATGTCACTTCATAATTACAAAACTGTACAAATTTCCTTCAGTTAGAATGAAAATTTTCCATAATTCTCTTCCCGCCTGCATATTTTGCAAAATTTTCTGTTTAATAGGGTTCTGGTGAAAATATTCACGTGATGCAAGGACTACTTTACTTTTGATTACCCACAAATACCTTGGACTTAACAGACCGCATCATTTTACTAAACAACAGGTTGTTTGGGTTATGATGCCATGGCTCAGTGATATATTTGACTACAAAGTGCTCACTACAACGCCGTTCTCCTTACCACACTATCTCGCTCCTACTGCCCATTCTTCAATTCCCCAACCGATTGTACTGAGTAGAGTTTGCTGGGTGGTACACGTGCAATGACGTTACGCCCACGGTTCTCATTCGATACTCGAAAACTTTATATCATGCAGTAACTCAAAAAATAGGGGCAATGTGTAAAAATCTGCTCTATGCCTCATCATCCGGCCCAGGACCAACTTAACACTGGATCTGGCTGAAGGAATTGTAAGAAAGCTTAAGGGGAGCCTACAAGCCCGAAATCTCTGTGAGGTCTCGGTAGTTTGCTCGTCTCCAAGACGGCTCTCTACAGGAGAGGCGATAAGCCTCATGCTGCCGTAGTGGTGTTTCTTGGAGACAGCTTTTGTCGAGCCGGAACACGGGCCACTTCTTTGTCTACAGGGCTTCCCCATCGTTCTTGGGAACGCATTCACGTGAATAACATGTCCCATAGCCCACCTTCAAAGATACTTGTTTTCATACTAGTCTAACACTCTGCGCCGGTCTGTTTTCTCCCTTGCACCTTTTGGTCAAGTATAAAAGCCAGAAAACCCCGAGTGATAACAGCTGCTTGTTTAGATTCAGCTTCATTACAAACTTCTTTTCCTGTAATACCTATGTACTACCTCTAATCTCTCTTTTGAGTAGAAGTCGACTGCATGGCGCATACCAAAAGCGGTACTGATCGACGAAAACACTCCATTCTGTAATTTTACGGCCTTGCATCCGCTTCACTTGCCTCTGGTCAGATATTTTTCAGAATGTTTTTTTCTTCAGATGAAGATCGTCGATCCACTTGCCGTATCCGGTCCTGCTGTTGGCTCCGCGGAGGTGAAACATGACCATTTTGACGAGAGCATATCGAAGCCGCTATGCCCCGAAAGTTTTCGGGAGTTGCTTCCCCACATCGACACTTTTATTTTCGACGCCGATGGTGAGTGAAGACATTTTTGTTTGAAATTTTTAGGTTTACCTCCTTGAACCTGTCCTGTTCCCCAGGTGTGTTGTGGTTGGGCGATGATGTAATCCCCGGATCACCTCGGTTGGTCGATTTCCTCATCAAAAGCCGCAAACGAGTAATCATTCTCACGAACAATGCTACGAAATCGCGAGCTGTCTATGCGAAGAAACTTGCAAGACTCGGCTTCAACCGCAAGTTGGACAAGGTTATTTTTATTTTATTTTTTTATTTTTTATTTTATTCGTTACACCCAGGGACAGGACATTTTAAAAATTTTTGCAATTTTCGAAAGTCGGGAATCCCAGGATTCTTAGAATTCACCCTTTTGCAGAACTCCCTTGTCAATCCCGCAGCCGTCGTCGCGGACGCCCTGGATAGAGCAGGTCTAGCTGACAACATGAAAGTTTACCTGATTGGTGCTCAAGGAGTACGAGACGAAATGGATGATCTTGGTCAGTAGGACAGCCTTCTCCCTCGTCTTGACGCCACCAAATGGCAAGTTCGAAGAGTTGCCCAAGAAAGTAATTTCCACTTCAGGTATCGAGTATTTTGGACATGGTCCAGAACCCCAGGACGACTCCGATGGGAGTGCCTTCATGTTTGACATTGAACTCGAAGAAGACGTGAGTACCCATATAACTCCTGAGTGTTAGGCGCCGGCTACCTCAAGCTCTTCCCAGACGTGAAGAGCATCCGCCTGTTTCAGCCTTCCGATGTTGGAGCAGTGGTCGTTGGATATGAGAAGCATTTCAACTACCACAAACTGATGAAGGCTGCCAACTATCTCCAGAAGCGGCACTGCCTGTTTCTAGCCACAAATGAAGATGAGACATGTCCAGGTCCCAATGCTGATGTGGTTACGCCTGATGCAGGTATGTTGGGAGGGCTTTTCCCTCTCACTCCTACACTTTCCCCAACTTCCCGAGGGTCGAAACTGCTCGATTCTAGGACCACTGGTGGCTGCTGTCCGATGTGCTTCTGGCAGGGAACCAATTACTGTCGGGAAACCCAACACTCCAGCTTTTGACTACATAAGAAGACGATGGAACATTGATCCCGAACGGACTTTGATGGTGGGCGACAGGTGAGTTGGAATCTGAAAGGCAGCCTTTAGGGGACTGAAGGAATTCGCTTCAGGACAAACACCGACGTGAAATTCGGTCGCGATCACGGATTGAAGACGCTGCTTGTGTTGTCGGGTTGCCATCAGCTTGAAGATATCCTGGACAATCACAGGAATGGCTCACTCGATATGGTGCCTGATTACTATACAACCTGTTTGGGAGCTTTACTACCACATCGGGATTATGCATGAACGGGACACTTATATTTAAAGTTTGATATGTTTACAAAAACTTATTTTTCTAATCTTCCAAGTTTCTTTTGTCAGTGACTTTGTATATCAATAAAAATTCAATGCTCATTCCAGCTATTACAACCAACAAGAGCCAGCCGATCTACAAATCGGGAATTTGTTCCCGTTAACAAGTAAGATACCGCGCAACAAACCACAATGGGTAGCGGACGTGGGTGCCGTTTTGATATGAGGGATGCCGTTGAAGGTTTGACTTGAGAAAAGTGGGTGAGGTAGGAGCTGCATACTACTCGGACCATATTGAAAAGTTAACCGGTTGGATGAAGGAGTCAGCAAAGATCATTTACATTCATCTGATGGCTTGATCACTTCCTGGAAAGTTTGAAAATGCGAAAAAGAATTAATAAAAAGCTCGTGGGGGCGAAGGTGGTGTAGCAGCAAGTAGCGCACCATCACACCGTTCGCTAGTTCAAACCGGATCGATATCCGCCTGGGCCAACCAAGCCCTCCATCCCTTCGGGGTCGGTTAATCGTTACCAGACTTGTCTGGGCACTGACTTGTACATCGACTGGCCACCACAAGTCATTGTATAGGCCACATACGCATTCAATACAATACTACGATTCTGAATGGAAGTCGAATGTCGAGTTGAATGGCCGCATCTCAGACGGGAATGATTGACGCCCCAACACTATTCGTTAGAAAGTTTGTGCGTAATCATTCAAGCAAAGGTTTATGTAGCTTTAATATCACTGTTTCATATAGATACACGTGAAAGACACACAATCGTGCTTTGTTCCTCTTCCTTCGATAACGCCAAAGCATCCATAGATTGAGTGGCTGGGGAGGCGTTCGATCTTAAAGGCTCGATTTGTCGTCAAATCACGAATTAGGCTTACAATCACATCTACTCAAAAATGCAGTTTTTTGTAACAAGTTACAGACTACAGTTGACCCCGTGCCCAACACACTTGACTGGAAGACCGAAAAAGGAAGGACTGATTACAAGAAGAACTGTGATCGAACTGTGATCGGGTTTCCCACGTAAAAAAACAATATGGCACCAGCACTTCCAGTCAGCACGACCCTGGTTTCAAATTGATGAAGGTACAGTTGCTACAGAGCAAGAACTTCCAAATACTTGAGAATGAGTTCCAATCACTTGTACTCCCACTCAAGGATCACTGAGAAGCGGAACTATCTCGTTTTGTTTTCCACATTTCAGCTATGAATAAAATCCCTCTAATGCTTTCCCATATCACCATCTTAGAGTGAGCACCGCTAAGTATGTCAACTACGTAAGAATTGACGCAAACTGAGAATTCAGATGAATTCGACTCACTTCTTTTCCATGTTTATGGAAAACGTTGTTGAAGCCTTTTATAACTTTATCATACCATGTTCTACGGTCGGTATATAAGAAGCATCTGAAAATACTTTTCTTTTGTAAAGGGAAAAGAAATCCTGTAAAATTTACATACGCTTCTCCGTGTATCCGCAGATCATCATCTTCGTCGTAATCATCTTCTGGTCCTGGGTCCATGTCCGACAAATCGTCCATCCATATCTATATACCAATAGTTAAGGGCGACGAAAACGAAAAAAATCTGCTGAATTCGCGAAATGCATGGTTCATTGTTCATTGAAAATAAGTAATACCCCAGGACTGGACGAATTTCAGGGAGAGGCAATTATACGAGATTTGTGAGACTACAGGATAACACGTGCAAATGCACAAGGAACAGCCTAAAGTTCCCTTTCTCCCAAAAAAACTTCCCACTTTAGATAAGGTTGCATGAAACACAGCTTTGGAGCTGCTGCGCCCTTTATAATGCTGTATTTTTCTCTACTAGTAGGTCCCTCGGAAATGTATTCCAATTCAAATGGAGCGCCTGTGCAATTGACTCACCTCCTACATTCCCTTCTAACACGTCCCTTTTTGGGTGTGGCCAGCAGTGCTACCGCTTTCTGGGCCCTTATAGCGCCCTATCCAGACAGTTTTTGACAAGAATTCACGTTGATTAATCGAATGGAATAATTAAGCTCACAAGGTCGTCGTTGTACATTCTGCCGAGATACTCGAGTGCGAGTAACCCATCTTTCGGTAGGGGAAGCCTGATATAGCCTGCAAAAAAAAGTCGCTCAAGATTTGTTTTTTTAGAGCTGGACTTTATAAAGTGGCGAGAAAAACATTTTGATGTGAAAAGCTGGTATGAGGTAGCTAAACCTACCTTGAACGCCGAAGGTTGTCAGGAAGGAAGCCAACAATACCAAAGTGAGCAACATCTTCGATGTGTGACTAATTTTGTGATCGTCCCCTATTTATAAGTGATGGTGATAAGTTTTAGCTGCACCTGCTTAAACGGAAACACGTCATAGCTCGTCATACTTTCTATCCAAAAACCATTCTGAGCGCTTATTGTTGGTTTTTGTTATTGTTTACCATTATTGTCATTCCTTTGTTGTTTTTTACTACCATTGATTCACCAACAATCCCCATGAAGTCTTCTGTTGCTGGAAGATAAGGATCGTTCTTAATCACACTTGTTTTTGATGGCACATCCCACGAAAGAAATAATTCTGATGGCGATGTTGTGATTCATCGCTTTGGGAAGGCCACATGGGCCATAGGCAGTTCTTTTCCTCCTCAGCGTCAACCCCACGCCGATCCAGTGCCCCTTTGTCAGCTGCTTCCACTTATATCTACCTGCAGTATGCTCCGCTGTTACTTTGAGCTCTTCCTGAAGCCCTCCTGATTACGCCTCACCTCCTCATCTTTGTGGCTCCTCATGGTCGCTTATCTTAAGCCTCGAATTTCACTGCCCCTCCCTCCCTTATCGGATGATTCAGTTGTCTTCTCAGTACATGCCCAGACCATCGCGGGCACTGCCCTCTCATATTTCAATGGACAGGGGGTTTGCTGGCCGCTCTGACGTCTTTATTTTTTGAGCCGGTCAACTTGCGTGCAACCGAAGGCGCACCTGAGCATCTCCATGTTGGAAGAATGAAGCTGCCTTCCATAATTTGCCCTCACGAGCCGGCTCTCGGCCATTGTGCATCGTGGGCCTCACCTTTGTTCAGCTTTTCCTTGTGCATCCCAGAACGTCGACTGCAGAAGACACCAGTAGCATCTCTCCGCATCAATTTTTAGGCTTTTATAAGACTAAACAATCCATTTTACCATCAGCGGATAGATCACTCCCCAAATATCGAAAATCGTGTAGCATTTTGATGCATTCCCGATACGGCCTACGATTGACTCTGCGCGCACCTCGTAATTCAAGAATGTGATCTTTATTGTTTTTTTTTCTGCCAGCACCTTCTACCACTTCTGCAGCTTATCCTGACTTCTTCTATGTTCCCCGCTATCCTTCAAGTCGCTCTGGTAAGTAGGTGCATATATTGCATTAGAAGGCGTTCAAGATAAACTTGACAGGGGAGTGTCCAATTGTAATTACTTCGCACCTTCCTCGTCCATCCAC